TTTGAGTGTTGTTCTTAAGACTTGTGTGACTCAAGTCTTGTTGTTGTAAGAAAGTGAGGCTTGTGTGATTCAAGTTCTCAAGTTGTACCGGTTTTTCAAGCACCCGTTGAAGCTTGAAGATTAGTAGGACTTTCGAGAGAGTCTCTCGGAGGACTGGACTAGCCACGAGGTGGTGAACCAGTATAAATCTCGGTGTTCTTCTTTCCCTTACTCTCTTTATTTATTCCTGCGATTTTATTATTTCACACACGCGAAAAACGCACATTTTTGAAAACAACTCTATTCATCCCCCCTCTAGAGTTGCACATTTGTCTAACAATTGGTATCGGAGCAGGAAGTTCTTCGAATACGTTATTTTTCAGGAACTAAAAGATCAAATGGCATCAAGAATGTTCAACGCGAGAGTGAACGAGGGACAATCAACCACGAGGCCACCATTGTTCGATGGAACCAACTACTCGTATTGGAAGGAGAGGATGAGAATCTTTATCCAATCTAACGACTACAAGCTGTGGTTGATTGTGAAAAACGGCTGCGGAGTCCCGATGAAGAAAGTCGGTGAAGTCAATGTTCCCAAAACCGAAGAGGAGTTCACCGACGAAGATTGCAAAAAGATGGAGCTCAACGCCAAGGCAATAAACATGATTTATTGCGGTGTTAACGCGGATGACTATCGAAAAATCTCGCGGTGTGAAACCGCAAAACAAATGTGGGAAAAATTAGAGGTCACCTACGAAGGAACCGCGCAGGTTCGGGAGGCCAAAATTGACCATCTCACTCACGAGTATGAACTCTTTTCAATGAAGGAAAATGAGAAAATTGAGGAAATGTTTGAGAGACTCTCTAACATCATCAATCCTCTCAATCTTCTCGGGAAGACATACACTGACCGAGAGCTCGTGAGAAAGGTGCTGCGAAGTCTATCCCCCAAATGGCGTTCAAAGGTGGACGCAATCGAAGAAGGTCGTGACTTCCAAACAACGACCTATGATGCTCTTCGAGGTAATCTTATTACCTACGAAATCACCTAACTCTCAAAGGTGGTTGAAGAGAGGAACAAGAGGTCTATTGCTCTTCCCGCAACAACATCAACCCACAACAACGTTGATGATGAAGATGATGACAGTGACGACACCGACCTTGGACTCTTTGTCCGAAAATTCAAGAAGATGATGCTCAAGAAGGGAGCCAAGAAGAACACTCCACCCAAATGCTATGGGTGTGGTGAAATTGGACACATCAAACCAATGTTCCCAAAGCTCAAGAACGAAAAGGACAAGAGGGCACCGAAGAAGCAACGTGCCTACATTTCTTGGGAGAACGACGGCTCCGGGAGTGAAATAAATCAAAAAGGCTTCCAAAGAAAACAATGAAATAAAGCAAAAAATCCTGATTTTTGAGAATGAAATCAAAGAACTCAAAAATATAAATGATAAAATTAAACAAGAAATTATCTCTTTTGGAAAAAGGCCACAAGAACCTTCAACTACTTCTTCTTCTACATGCTCTAGTTGTACATCACTAAAAGCTAAGGTTGTTAGTTTAGAGAGCAAATTGGGTAAGTTCAATAATGCTTCAAACACCTTAGATAAAATACTTAAGCAAAAAGTTAGTAATGGTGAAGGACTTGGATATAAGAAAAACCAACCTAGAAAAACAACATTTGTTAAAGCTAGGGGGAATAAAAATGCTAGGATAAATAATCAAACTAGAAAAGCACATCCTAGCAAACCTAGAACTCATTACACTCAACCATATAGGATGAATAATCCAAATGTTATTTGCCACTATTGCAATAAGATAGGTCACATTGCACCCGTGTGCTTCACCAAAATTAGGCATTTTCAACNCTTAAGCAAAAAGTTAGTAATGGTGAAGGACTTGGATATAAGAAAAACCAACCTAGAAAAACAACATTTGTTAAAGCTAGGGGGAATAAAAATGCTAGGATAAATAATCAAACTAGAAAAGCACATCCTAGCAAACCTAGAACTCATTACACTCAACCATATAGGATGAATAATCCAAATGTTATTTGCCACTATTGCAATAAGATAGGTCACATTGCACCCGTGTGCTTCACCAAAATTAGGCACTTTCAACAAACGCACACACATCGCACATATGCTAACCAAAAAGGACCCAACAATACATGGGTACCTAAACCGTCTCCTTGATATCTTTTTGTAGGTGTGCTTGAAGGCTTCGAGTACCTCTTGGCATCTCGATAGCAGATGCTCCAAGCACATGACCGGAGACGCATCTAAATTTAGGAGTTTAGAGTATTTCAAAGGTGGCAATGTCGTTTTTGGTGACAACAACAAAGGAAGAATCATTGGAAGTGGCATCGTCGGAAAGGACAATGCTACAACCATTGAGAACGTTCTTCTTGTTGAGGGCCTCAAGCACAATCTTCTTAGCATTAGCCAATTATGCGATAGAGGTAACCGTGTCATCTTTGATTCTAGAAAATGCATTGTAGAACGCTTGTGTGACAATAAGACTATTCTTTGTGGTAGTAGAGTAGATAACATTTACATGTTTGATCTTGAAAATTCCCCGTCTACTTTAGCTAAGTGTCTCATTACCAAAGAGGAAGAAATGTGGCTATGGCATCGTCGGATAGCTCACGTTAATATGGACCATCTTAATAAGTTGGTTTCTAAAGACTTAGTAATTGGTGTTCCTAAACTTAAGTTTGAGAAGAATCTAATTTGTGATGCATGTCAAAAGGGGAAGCAAGTAAGGGCCTCGTTTAAGTCAAAGAACGTTGTTTCTACAACTAGGCCATTACAACTTTTGCACATGGACCTTTTTGGACCTTCAAGAACTATGAGTTTAGGAGGTAATTACTTTGGCTTTGTTATCGTTGATGACTATTCGAGGTTTACATGGACACTCTTTCTTGCTCATAAGTATGATGCAATAATGCTTTTAAGAAATTCATTAAATTGGTTCAAAATGAAAAAGACTCTCACATTGCATCCATTAGAAGTGATCATGGGGGAGAATTCGATCAAGATGGCTTTGATGCCTTATGTGACGAATTAGGCATTGAACATAACTTCTCGGCCCCCCGTACACCACAACAAAATGGTGTGGTTGAACGGAAAAATAGGTCTCTTGAAGAGATGGCTAGAACTATGCTCAATGAGGCTAACCTTCCTAAATATTTTTGGGCGGATGCCGTGAGTACCGCGTGCTACGTGTTAAACCGAGCCGTCATTAGACCGATACTCAAGAAAACGCCCTATGAACTTTACAAAGGAAGAAAGCCTAACCTTTCCTATTTTCATGTCTTTGGTAAAGTTTTCATTCATAATAATGGAAAAGATAACTTGGGAAAATTTGATGCTAAGTCGGATGTAGGAATTTTCTTAGGTTATTCTCTTCGTAGTAAGGCATATAGAGTGTTCAACAAGCGTACTAAGACCGTAGAGGAGTCTATTCATGTTGTCTTTGATGAATTTGATGCTCGCTTGGCGAGAAAAGGTATTGTTGATAATTTTGTAGGTTCTTATGATGATGAAGAAGAAATCGTTAAAGAAAAAGGACCGGAAGAAGAGAAAACGCAGGAACAAACGGAGCTTCCTAAGGAATAGAGAACATTGAAGAACCACCCGATTGACAATGTCATTGGTGACATAATGCAGGGAGTTTCTACTCGTAATTCTCTTAGGAACACAATTGACATGGCCTTTGTTTCACAAATTGAACCAACAACCGTTTTGGATGCTATTAATGATGAACATTGGTCTATGGCAATGCAAGAGGAGCTTAACCAATTTAAACACAATGATGTTTGGGAATTGGTGCCTAGACCTAATGATCATTCCGTTATTAGCACAAAATGGGTGTTTTGTAACAAACTCGATGAAAATGGAATAATCACTAGAAACAAAGCTAGGCTTGTAGCTAAAGGCTACAATCAAGAAGAAGGCATTGATTATGAAGAAACTTATGCACCGGTTGCACGTTTAGAAGCTATTCGTTTATTACTTGCATTTACATCTACGATGGATTTTAAACTTTATCAAATGGATGTTAAAAGTGCCTTCCTTAATGGTATCATTCAAGAGGAAGTGTATGTCGAACAACCCCCGGGTTTCGAAGACTATGAATTTCCCGAACATGTCTTCAAACTCAAAAAGGCGCTTTACGGTCTCAAACAAGCACCTCGAGCTTGGTATGAACGGTTAAGCAAATTTCTTTTGGACCATGAGTTCAAACGGAACGAACTTGGAATTTTGGATATCTCTATAAACTAATCCATTCTTTTTATTGACTATACTAATTTGAGCATCGGAGGCGCGATAAATTCTTTTTTGCAGGGCTTTTATTGAAGGTATCTCTTCCCTTGGTATTCAACCGACTTGGACTTGATGATTTTTTTTGTCAAAAAAGTTTTAATCGATTACTCCTCGAAGAGAAATCGATTAGTCGCCTCTGTCCCTCTTAATCGATTACTGGACTTTTGTTAATCGATTAAAATCCGAAACCTTTTTTTTGCTCTGCTTCACTTTTAATCGATTTATTTAGTTAAATTAATCGATTAGACTCATCTGTCCATCTTAATCGATTAACCATCTTTGTTTAATCGATTAATAGCTTGAAACGCAAACGTTTGGTTCTGCTCCACTTCTAATCGATTAATAAGTTTAATTTAATCGATTTGCCTCGGCTGTGTTCCTTAATCGATTAAATATTGTTTTTTAATCGATTAATATTCGATTTTTGCCCTTATATCACAGTCAGTCTTCGTCTTCTTCGCCATTCTCCTTTTTCGAATAAGAGAAACCCTAGCTCTTTCCCTTCTCCGATTTTCTCAATCTTCATCAGAAACTTCTCAAATTTCTTCCATTTTCTCACCAAATTTCATCAATTTCAAAGAGGAAGGATTCCAAGGTGATAGAACGCTTCATCGCGTCAAGAATCGGCGGTAGAGGAGAGTGAGAGGCCATGGAGTCGTGAAGGGAGCAAGTACATCCACATACAAACCGAACTGGCCTTCAACACTGGGGCTTCAGTCGAGAGGTTCCACAACATCTTCCTCACGAAGGAGATCGTCTCTCCTAAGATCGTGAACAAGGACCTCTTCAAATCGGCGACCTATGCCCCAAGTAAGTCTCTTTTCTCTCAGCAAGGTTTGCTTCGTTTCATTCATTTGACGTATGAATTCTTTTGTCCAAATCTTATACGTCAATTTTATGAAAATCTTCGTACCACTAAGGGAGACTCGCCATCTCTCACTTCCTATGTTGACAGCAAAACCGTTTTCATTGACGGTTCCGGTTTGACTTCTCTGTTTGGCCTTCGTCGAGGTGAAATTACCGAAAACTTGGATGAAACATTCCAAGATGAGGCAATTTGGCGACAACTCGGGTTAGATCATCGTGACCTCAAGTTTAGAAATTCTAGCAACCCGAGTGTCATTAATCTCACTTTAATTCAACGCGTCCAACAATACATCTTCTCCTATGTCTTGTTGCCCCGTGATTCGAACCATGGCGTTGTCAACAAGGACGATATTCGTTTGTTTCACGTCCTGTTGAACGATGTCAAGTTTGATTGGGTTCACTTCTTTATTGTTGCACTTAGCGATGGCACTCGTTTTTCCCATCTCCGTTTTGCCATCCCCATTATGCATATCCTTGCTCATTGCAAAATAGACTTTACTCGGGACACTCAGGTGCCGGTCAAGAAGACTTGTTTCATCACTGAAGCCAAGTTTTCCCGGATCGTGTACCGAGAGGAGGGCGATGCTGCACCATATCTGGACCTAATAGTCACAGAAGAAGAAGAGAGCCAAAACGAGACTCAAGCTGAGTCATCTCGAGCCGGAGGAAGTCGAGCCACGGAGCGCGTCACTCGTCAACGCAGGACTCGTCCAAGAAAAGAAGCACCGGAACCTTCTTGGGTGAAGAGGATCTTCTTCGATACTCTCACATGCATCCGAGATGACGTTCACCAGCTCCATGAAAGGATGACTCGTCTTGAGCATTCCCGCTCGTACCGTGGCCCGCGTCACAGCTTTAGCGGAGGAGCTCGTCCGGCGAACTCTCTTTGATTATATTCCTTCTCCATCTTGACTTATTATGATACATTGTTATTTGCTAATGTTATTGTTTTATGACTCTTTTGGTGGATGATGATGTTCCTTTCAATGATGCTAGTTAATATTAATTATGATTGTGTATTGATATCATTGTTGGGTTGGCAATATTGTTCTTGTTTAGAACATATTGTCTCTTTGTGGCATTTTTTACTAAGAGTTCTCTTTTAAAGAAAACTCTTGCCATTTTTTTTACTTTCCTTCAATATCCCGGCATTGATTAAGGGGGAAGGTTATCGGTTGATAATGCCAAAAGGGGGAAGGAAGGATAGTTGAGCAAATTTTTTCTTAAAAACTTTTTTTTTCCGGTTTTTACTCCGATATTTTTTCACTTCTCTAACCTTGCAGGGGGAATTATTCTTAAAAGGGAGTATTTTTTGAACTCTTACTTTGCTCTTTCTCAACTATGTTTGTAATTATCAAAAAGGGGGAAATTGTTGGACATGAGTTCAAATCCCTTTACTATTTCTTCTGGGATATTTTTTGTTTTGATGAATGACAAAGAGGATGATTAATTTCAAGCTGATCAAAAATTTATTTTCGTATCGAGAAAAGCAAAGAAGGGTATCAAGAAGTTTACGGCGATAAAAATCGACGATCACCCCTACGCAGATTTTTTTTAAGTGAAGTGAAGACTTTGAATACTTTTTTATTTTTTAATTAAGTCTAGGAATCTTTGTAAGGATGACAATTTTTTTCTACACAAACAAATTATTTTTGAGGGTTAAACAAATTAATTTCTAAGGGATAAAAAATTATTATTTCTTGAGTCAGTTGAAAAATTATTTTTCCTCTTTCCAAAAATATTTTACTGAGTCAGTTTCAAAATAAGTGTGTCAAAATTTCTTAAAAATAATTTTAAAGATTACACATTTTCTTTGGTAAGAAAAATATTCTTTAAATATTTTTCATGTACATCGTTTGACACACAAAATAATTTTTGGACTCACTTTTTCTCCCCTATTCAAAATCATTGAATAAGGGATATTATATTTGAGGAGCGTTCTTGTTATTCTCGTTGTCTCAAACAACGAATATAAAGCCAATGCCCTTCGCATCGCACTTGGCTTGGGCCCTTCATGTTTGCGCATTATTTTCACTTTAATCGATTAAATTTTCTAAAATAATCGATTAGATCCAATTTCTCAGCGCTGGATTTCTCAGGCCAATAGACTTAATCGATTAAATTTCTCCATTTAATCGATTAGTTTAAACAGAGCAAGCTAATCGATTTTTCTCTTTTTTAATCGATTAATTCCACCTTTGCATTCAAGCCCTTTTCGCTTCTGTACACTTTAATCGATTAAAGTCCCTAATTTAATCGATTAATTCTGTCTGGTGCATGTTCTGGCTTGCTCCAACGGCTTTATTTTCCTCAGTCTATTTAATCCCTCATTCTCCTTCATTTCAAAACACATCTCTTGCACTTCAATATATTCTTTGAGCTATATTCATCCTTTGCTTCATCTTCCTCATCAAAATATTATTTTTGAGAGTTAGAAATATTTTCTTTGAGTGCTAAAGAAGTTGTCATCCA